GCAGCGCCGTCGCTGCGGAGGGCTCCGGCCTGGGCATGGCCACGCGTCCCGTCCGGAGGAGCCCTCTTTGGCTCGTCGCGGCGGAGGGATGCCTTGTGCCGAGAGGGTGAAACTGCTGAGAGTCTTCTAACCAAAGCGGTTTATCACGAAGCTGCAAACTGGGAAGCACCGTTGAGAGCAGAAATCGTTGTTCTGCTGCCTTGTGCCGAGAGGGTGAAACTGCTGAGAGTCTTCTAACCAAAGCGGTTTATCACGAAGCTGCAAACTGGGAAGCACCGTTGAGAGCAGAAATCGTTGTTCTGCTCTGATGTGTGCGACCGCCCTGTCCACCCGGCCAGCGCCGGCTGCGCTGCCCAGCCCGCAGGAAGGCTTGCTCTGAGCACACCTTGCCCCGTCGGAAGCAAGCTCCATCGCTCCGGAGAGCGCGGGGTTTCACTGCCGAGCTGCTGGCAGGCGGCTCCCGGGCTTGGCCAGATTTGCCGTCAGCCGGCTCCCGGGCTTGGCAAGATTTGCCGTGGCGAAAAGCATCAGGTTTGTTTTCCCAGGGCCGTGCCAGCGAGCACCTGGTGAGAGCCTCGGCCTCTCCCACCGCCCTGTGCCGCTTGGTTTCTCTGGGCCCTTTCTCTGCTTGGTTTCTCTGGGAGGAAACCAGGCAGATTTCTGGGCTCACCTGAGTGCGGGCAGCTCCTCCTTCCCCTTAACCACCAGCTCAGGGCTGTCTGTTCCCAGCGCACAAAGACAGCGGTGAAAAAATATGGCCTTTCACCAGCTCTGAATCGCACGTATTTGAACATTGTTGGCTATGGCCGGTTCTGGTGGTTACGAGGCACTAACACATAAACACGGTTTGCATTTAGTAGCTTTAGATGCCAAAGAACTCCCTGAAGTTGGCTATAACTCTGCTTGAAGCAACAACAGGGACCAGCGCGAGCGAGACGGAGGAGCTGCTCTGCGTTACCCCTCACCTTGTGTGCTCTGGAGCCGTCCTCCTCCTCGCCCCGGCCTTCATCCCACCACATGCCAGAGCCCGGGCGGCCGACCCCGTGCCCCCCGTGAGCGCCACGGGGGCACCGGACTGCGGTTAAATGGGTGCCACAGATGGGGAGTTTGCGTGCTAGGAGGGGGCACGGGCACAGTGGCGTGTCCTGGGGGGCTGCACGACGCCCCTGCTGCTCTGCCTCTCGCGAGCGGGTGCCACACACCTCCCGCGGGAAGAGGGACCGTTCCGGCTGTTTTTAGCTCCTGGAGGGCAGGGAGAGGGGGTGCCACTTACAGGCTGCTACAAATTATGGATCAGAAGCTAACAGCTTGTCCTCCTACCCACCCACAAACACAGCGCCGGGTGCTGCTGCTGAAGGGGGTGATGGCAGGGCCGGCCCGTGCCCCCGGGCCCCGAGGGCCAGGACGGGAGCGGTGCCCCCGGATCGGGGCT